ACTCACAAAGAGTGCTCAATGTTTATTTTCATTAAACAGAGCAAAATTTTTTCTTACGGTTGGAATTAAGATACCATTAATTAATAACCCTCCTTCTACAAAGTGATACCATAAACAGTTTGAAAAATCCTGCAAATTTTAAAATTAAAATTTGTAGGTGAAAATGGTCATTAACTAATGGTATCTTAATTCCAATTGTAAGAATATATATATATATATATATATATATATATATATATATATATATATATATATATATATATATACTATAAAAAACATTACTAATGATTTTATGATAGAAATGTATTTAAAATCAGGAAAAGGAATTATCAATGGTCATGAATTAATGTAAGCATCTTTGTTAAAAGAAATCTATTTAAAATCAGGAAATGGAATTGTCAAGGCTCAAGAATTAATATAATCATTACTAACATTTTTTTTTTTATTGAATGCAGCAGTTTTTTTTCTTCCTACAACATAGAAAATGGAAATAGAATAAACATCTTTCTAAGCAATAGGTGCAATATTCTTAAATAAATTAAGAAAGAATACAATTACAGACAAATCACAAAAGACCTTCTATCGTTGATGATAAACAAGCAATAATGTTAAGGACGTTCTCGTACAATCATGAAACAATGAATTAAAGAACCCCAAGAAAAAACAATAGAAACAAAATGTCAGACACCCTATTGCAGGGGTGTGAATCCCCAAAATCAAATCAGAGAGAATGTGGAGTAGATGGAAAAAGTGAATATTTGAAAACCTTAAGTATGTATCTCTCCCACCATCTACAGTCAATATGATGTTTATTTTCTCTAAAATATGGTAGAAACTAGCAACATTTTTGCGAAAAAAAAATAGTAAAGGAAAATATATGTAGAAACCAAAAATAAATAAACAAAAATATCCATATAGGAACTTTTTTTAATCTTTTTTTAATACACTTTTATTTGCCTCTTTTTTTTCTCTCGTCTTTCATTTTAGCCATCTCAATTGGCACTTCCAAAGCCAAATTACTGAAACACTATGTGCTACAATTCCAGAAACAAAAACTTTCTGCTTCATGGTATTTTTTATTAGCACCATCAATTGTTAATTAGCTTCTTCCTCCTTTACCATAAAAAAAACAATCTATAAATTAATCCACCCAAGAAAGACTCCAGAGATATATAATTGAGATGAAACATTGGGGGGGGGGCTACTTATAAAAGACCAGCATCAATTAAAATCCATAATAAACAGACAAATTATTCTTATATTTGACTTTTATTATTATTCTTTATTAGTTCTATCTTTTTTTTAACACTTTTAACAGTTGGCTATTTTTTACCCAAACTCAGATTAAAAATACACTTTTAATATCAGCATAGATTTTATGAGATAATAAAAAAATGTAAAAAATTATATTTCACATAACTTTTTTTGGAATTATTAATACTCGATTTTTGTTTTCTGGTTTCATCTAATTTTTTTTTTTTCCATTGAAGTTATAAAAAATTAATTTCCATCTGCATTACCAAAAGGTGGTTTTATAAATTGAATCTTTCAAAATGTTAGGATAAAGACAATAAAGATAAAGAAATTCATTTGAAAAAAAACAATCATGTATGATAAAAGTTAAATATTTAAAAAAAATATAATATTGTTTTTATATATGTATAAAATATAGCAAGATAATCTTTTGACTATTTGATGAAAGTGTATTCTCTCTTCAAAAAAGGAATGAGATGCTTTCTTGTCATAATATATTCTTAATATGTAATAATATATGAGGGGGTGCTGAAAAGTTCATTCCTAAAATAATTATTTCAGTAAGGAAACATCATCATCTGTGTGCCATGTCAATTCAAGATGTTGGTAATCATGGCTCTTCACAATTTCCTGTCCTTTGTAGCTCATCATAAATTTTGCTTTTTTGTTATCTCTCTTAAACTTTGTTCTGTCATCCATCTACTCAATCTCACAAGGTAGGTTATGCATTGTTTTCAGTCAATCCCGCTTGCCTTCAATATGTCCTGTGAGTATCAAATTTTTCAAGCCCATTTTCCTCATTATGTACCCTAGAAATTTTTGGGATTGGCCATATGAATGATCTACCTGATAATACATGCAATGATATGTAAAAATGATCTTACTTATTATAAAACACAGATTGTGTGTGTGTGTGTGTGTGTGTGTGTGTGTGTCTGTACGTTTATATATTGGATCGGATTTCCTACATTTTTCAACCGATTTCAACAAAACTTCACAGGACTGAGTAAAATTACCTTGTGGTGGTTCTGACAGCACCAAAAATTGGAAAAACACAATTGTTTTTGCACAAAATCAATTTGAAAACACGATAAAACACAATTCTGTCACCAGAATGAAAGGGGGACAACTCATATCGAGTTATACTTATTATAAAACCCAGGTTGTTTGTGTGTGTGTGTGTGTTCATTTATATATGGGATCGGATTTCCTACATTTTTCAATGGATTTCAACGAAACTTCACTTTTTTTTGGCATGTAGTGTTTCTTATTGTCTTGCACACTTTTTTCTTTATTTTTACATTCAGAATGCTTTAAAAATTCCATTTACAAGACAATTGTTTATAATAAAATTGGTAGACTCATAACAATTGAAAACAATGTTTTTGTTTGAGTTTGACCAATATGTAAATAAAAACAACAAAAAAACTAATTAAGACATGCGTGTCCGTCAACCTTAAACAATAATCTTTGTCAATTTTATTTTTCAGTCTTTATGATGGTCGATACTTGATCTATCTCTTACTGTTACATCCCCGGGCAATGCCCGGCTCTCCTGCTAGTATATAATATATTCAATATTCATAATAATATAAGCATATGATATTCATGATAATATAGACATATGATGAGATTTACTATTCCAGTCATTGATGCATTTTTGTTTGTTATGTTATCTCATGGATTAATTATTAAAACTGATTATTTTTCTTAACCCCAGTGCATTTCAATGATGCATCTTCAAAATTTATACAGTACTCATTTTTTTCTAACAAAACAATTATAAATAGTTTATGAAAAATTATCTTTTAAAACGAAGCAGTAATACTTACCTCAGAATTTTATGAAGCAGCTTGCATTAAGAAAATTAACCACTTTTCATGGATTCTTTCTCTTCTTTTATCTGCCATGACCTTCTCCAGAATTTCCTATTGTTTGTTGCATGAAACAATGTTTGCCTCCTTACAATCCCTTTCAGTCACATGTGTCCAAAATCAAAAAATTCTGAGGATGTAAAAAGGGTTAAAAAAAAACTCTATCCATGAATCACAACATACAACTACCTACTTCACCCACAAAGTCCTGCTGTCATCCAAAGTAGCTTTCTTTTATTGGAGTAAAAAAGGCTGTGATTAGTCAAGACTGGTAGATAATCCCCCAAATTACTATATTTCAAGGCTTTACTAAAATAGATCCAATTTTGATTTTCTTTTTCGACAAACAGCAAAAAGAGCAAATTCTTTTTTGAAGCAAGACTTAGTTTTCTCTTTCATCACCACACCAACATTCTCTGCCATATAAGACAATGATTGTCAAACATTTCTGATATGTTCCGGAAAGGGATATATTTGTTTGAAGTAGCAAAGTGGTTTTGGACTACTGTAACCGAGTAGGACAATCTAGCAGGTAACCATAATGGACTGGTCCTTGTCGTAGTGGTAGGCAATAGGCATAGCCAATAGACGTCATCCACAGGTGTAGACCATGTACCTCCACATCAGTCTGTATTTATGGCTGACACCAGCCAATCATATTACTGCGAGGGGGAACCCAGGTGTATGCATATTCATTACATCAATTTCATTTACAGTCTTATTACAATTTAACATTTTTACCACTCTTAAGATTAGCAATCAACCTTATATCAAACGGTTTATCTGTGATAATGTGGAAATTTTGCTAAAATAACTTGTGGAGAAAAATAGCAGGGAGTTGGTATCCAAATCCCAAGTCAGAATTCCAGGGTCATAATTCCAAAGGTCATTGCAGGTCCAATGTCAAAGCTACCAGGAGTCTGGTAGTTATATTCATTTATGCCCAAATATCCTTGTGAAAGGTATGAATTCCTCTCCATCTGCAGCTATGGATTAAATAACAGGACACTTGTCTGGAAAATCATTGCTATTCACAAAAAATTGTTACTGCAATATTCACTCAGGAAAAAAAATATTCTTACAATCCAAAATGTTTTGGCTTTCAATAATCCACAATGGGTTGATAATCCATAAAAAACAAATGAATCCATCAGTCAGCCACAATGAACAGAGGATGATCCTGTTGTCCAAAATAGCATTCATTTAAATAAAAAAGGCTGTGATTAGTCAAGACTGGTAGGTAAGCACGAAAATTACAGTATTTCAGTTTTATTACAATTTGACAGTTTTTTAGACTATTTTTTATCATAATAGCAAATTCTTATTACTGCAGGTAAAATTTTTAACCAAACTATATTTCTATCATTAAAGAAATTTTAAAAAAAATAAAGCCATTAAATAATTAATGTGACAAGATGCAGAGAAGTTCTTGACCCAAGCCATTCCCAAAATCTGATGAAACATCAGAATTTTCTTGGGAAGGTTTGCTTGGTTGGGTTGAGAATTTTTCGATAACTCTGTATATATTTTAATTTCAGTCTGTTATGTTAATGGTTAGTATGAATATAATTAAATGAATAATAACATTACTACAATTATTATTTGGTTCATTCTTATAATCAATGATTATCTTTCTTTATTTGTCTTTTGTTTTCTAAGAAGAATTCTTAAATTTTGCTTTTCTCTTGCTTTATGCACAGAACCAATTCACACCTCAAAATCTGAAATATTTTACAAGATTTAATTAGAAAATACACATCAATTAGGTGGAGGAGGAATAGAATGCAGTAAAAAAAAAAAAAACAATGTATGGGGAAAAACCAAAAAGTAAAATTAACAAAAGTGGGTAAAAATTGACTTTTTCATATAAGGTTAAGTAAATGAAATTAACATGAATGAAATGGTTAGAAAATGAAGAATGAAATAAGGAAAACTGGAGGCTAAAAAGAAAGAAAAATAAAGAAAAAACAAAAGAATTAAAGAAACAAAAAAAAAGGAAAAAAAATAGTAAGAGAATGAAAGAAATAATGAATGAATGAATGACAGAAAGAAAAAAAGAAATATGAAAAAGAATAAGCGGAAAAAAAGAAAAAAATCCAAAGTAAAAACATTAACGAAAAATGAAGAAAGAAAAAAAAACAAAGAAAAAGTTAAAAGATATGAAAAAATTTTAAAAAAGGAAAAAAAGGAAAGAAAAACTTAAAAATAAATAAATAGTCAAGTCAAAATCTAAAGAAAAAAATAACAAAGAAATAATGAAAAATAAGAAATGAAATTAATTAACAAAAATGATAAAAACATTTGCAGAAAAATGAAATTTAATTAATAGAGAAGGGCAAAAATTAAAGCCAAATGGTCAATAAAAAGTGAAAACAGAAAAGAAAAGAAAAAAAATACATTAGACAAGACATAAAACAGAAATGAAAAAAATAAGGAACTGCTAAAAAAGAAATAGAAAGTGAGGTTGAATGACATACATTTTTTTTTCTCAGAAATCTAAATTAAAACAAAACTTTCTGCAAATGATGCAACCATCATATTGGTAAAACGTGGAGAAATGTTTACAGAAGCTAATTAAGAAGACAGGTGTAAAAATGCCAAGGAGAAATTAAGGAGTAATGGAAAGTGTGGGATGGTGGGGTAACACAGTGGAAAAAAAGAACATGGAAAAACAAAATGGGGTTAAAAATGTTTAAAAAAAAAAAAAATTAACTTAAATAAAAATTAAATTATTTTAACAGATGAAGAAACAAAGACAGGGTCTTGATGTGTTGAACGCTGAGAGTTAGCCACTTTTGCTTATACACTACTGTCCTTGGATATTTTGGGTAAATTCCACAGAATTGCTTGTGTAGTCACAAATTGGCAGACATGCAACAAATGGCCAGTACAAAGTTGCTCACATGAACACAATCTTATTCTAATTACATGTTAGTCTGTGTAATTCTTTTCAGTGATTAGATACCAAAACTTAGTACTAAGAAATTGGTGCAATGGATTAATTGGATTCATGATATTCTATTTAGGATAGAACCTGAGATTATTTAAATTAATTGTCTACCAAATTTACTTCTTCTATATGCCATGTCCCTTCAGGACATGAGCAATCATGGTTCTTCACAACTTTCTGTCTTTTGTAGCTTTTAGCAATGCCTGGCCTTTTACTTTCTCTCCTAATCTCAGTTCTGCCAAACATTTAAGCAAACTCGTTAGGTAAGTTATTCAATAATTTCCTCTATCCTTCTTGCTTTCAATGTGCTCTGTGAGTATTAAATTCTCCAAGCCTTCTTTTCTCCTTAAGTGCCTTATCAATCTCTTTCTGATTCTAAATATTAATATCTTTTTTTATTCTATTTTCTCTAAAACTTTGTCATTGCTCATATGTTCAGTTCACAGAATTCTCAGTATCCTTCTGTAGAAATACATATCTGTTGCTTCAAGTCTCTCCATCTATGAAGAGATATTCCAGCCTTCACTGCCATATAAGAGAACTGATATTATATAACAATTCAGTACTCTTTCCTTTGTTTCTAATCAAATTTCCTTGCTAGTTTACCAAATTATTGTATTTCATGTGAATGGTAACTTTATTTCTATATATACTCTTTGCATTATACTACTATTTTATTTTTTTCATATGCTGTGACTGAAAAATATGTTGTTGTTATTATCCTTAACATAGTACTCATGAAAAAGATGGGACTGTCTAACAAAAGAAAAGAAACAAACTTGGATGATCACAGCTCTCCACAACTTCCTTGTAGCTCTTAGTAATGTTTGTCTTGTTAACATCCCTCCCACTCTATTCCACAATCTATTCACACAAGCACATCAGAAATGTGGCCAGCTGCTTCTGTCCCTTTTGTATTTGATATATCCTATGAGTAACAAATTCTCCAAGCCTTCTATTCTCATTACGTGTCCAAGAAATTTCAGCTATCTCTTTCTGATTTAGATTATAATTGTCTTTTTTATTTCCATTTTACTTAAGAATTCATTGTTACATACATGTTGAGTGAGTCAGTCAATGTCGGACATTGAAGTATCAACCACCACAACTAGATTGCTGCGTCATTATTTATTATTTCAAGTTCCTAACGTTTTGTACATCGGACCCTTTTAGGACCGACTTTGCGAAATACAAGCCTCCACTGTGAAAACTACTCTACAACAGTTATTTAAAGCCAAAACTTTTTTTTGTAATAACTGGAAAATTATGAGAATAATTCTTCATTTGTAAGTGAATATCGCATTAAAAATTTTTTGAAAATAACAATGCTTTTTCCCCAGATACAAGTGCTACTATTTAACCCATAGCTAGAAAACGAGATTCATACCTTTCTTAAGGGCATTTGTACATAAGTGAATAGAATTTGAACATGGCTTTCTGATTTCCCATTCCATACTGTCATCCACTACACCACCCACACATCCACAACAAAACAAGACTTTTGAAGGTTATGAAAACAAATGGTCAGTTGTTTCTGTTTTTGTTTTTTTTATATCCTTTTTATCAGACAATATTTAATATATATCACAAAAAAAAACTAGTTACACCTTACAACTGAAGTAATTATTTGGTGCTGGAGGTTGTTGTTCAAACAAGCCAGATAATTTGTTTGAATTTCTGTGATGAGAAGTTATTATTTATGTTTGGACTAATGTCCACATCTTTGTTTTTATTATCTTAAAATTTCAGCTGATGTGCAATCCAGCTTTCTTTAGGGTGTCTGTTGATGCAGGTAATCTTCAATGAATTTCATACTGACCTCATTATTTAATCTATGGGATAAATTGCTCTCATTCTGCTGCCTATACCTTATTCTTAATACTGCTCAGTTATTGCTCACTCTGTTTCCACAACTCTAAGTCTGTATTAACCGAACCAAAATATATTGTCCCCCAACCAAACACCTTTGTAATCACCATTAGATTCATCCAGTTCTTTCTGAACTGTCCTCAGATTGGTACCCAAACACTCTGAAATGTTTGTATTGGAGATTCCAGCACAAATGCCTTCGAGTACAACATGCCATTTTCAATTTTCTGGCAGAGTGAATTGTATCATGGTGCTCTTTTTCTCACAGATGGTGCCCAACTGACCCTACTATACTGTAAGGTCAACAAAATCAAAAACAAACAGCATATATGTGTAGAATTAAATATATAAAATGGTAGCAATTTATCCATCACACTCTGTATCATAGCATTGAATGCAGCCTGTTTTGTGATATATTTTCATTGTGTATTGGGTGGGTATCTTAGTATTGCAGAGTATCTGACTGAAGCCAAAATGGCAGTCCACATGAGAAGTTACCATCAGCATTCCAATTTTCTATTTTTCCTTAACCTTTAACATTCTGGAGGTGATTTTGTTTGCAAAGCAAAAAATTTTATCCTGCCATTCCAAGTATCTCAGATGAATGAATGATAGCATGTTTGACTTTTGTAGTTGTGTTGTCATATCCTGCTACAGCAACAGAAAATGATCATCATTGAAATAGTGCAGTAGAGGAGCCTTTAAAAACAATGCAGTGGAAAAGAAAGTAATGAATAATGCAGAGTGCTAAAAGTTAAAACAGACGAGCACAGTCAGGCAACAATGCTTTAACAATGTAGCAATAAAAGTGTGTCAATTAAAGGGTCAGGTACGATGCCACTGCCACTGTTATAGAGTTATTTGGAAAGAAGTTTGAAGAATTGTTTTCTAATAGTAAAAGTCTTACTTTTTATATATATATATATATATATATATATATGCATATATATCTTTTGTTCCTTTTCAGTAATATATTTGTTTTCAACAACATTTAAAATTTTAACAGTGCTGCCAAAAGTTATAAGAAATTTGTTGCAGATATAAAGTTTGTTAAAAATATATGCTTGTTCCATAGGAAAAAAAGAAATTATTTGTCTGGAACGTGAATTACTGTACTATTTATTGTTATTTTCCCTCTATAAAACAGGTTTTAAGAGATTTAAAAACATTTCAAAACAAACTTTTCAGCATCCTTTATAGATAAGCGAGTAAAATCAAGAAAAAGTAAATGCAGTTGCCATTTTTTTAAAATAAAGTTCATATTTACAAAAGAATAAAATAGTAACAATAAAACAAAAAATTCATGAAAACAACCGTTTGAATAAAAAAAAAAAGCAGGAAAAGAGAAATGTTTCTAGCAAAAAATCTTCCTCAGATTACTATCTTTTTAGTTACCTTGAAAAATTCCTGAAATGTTTGATCTCTTGACAGAGTGTTTTGCATTTTCTTAAAAAGAAAAAGAAAACAATGTTGCGGTGGGGTGGAGACAAAGGTTTGGGTCTGTTTGTAAGAAGAAAGAAGTGCAAATGGTGGAAAAGAAGTCTTTTGACAAATAAATTTTTGTTTGCTTGTTAACAGAGGTAGAAAGTTTTATAGACAAGTTGGTGGATGAGAAAGTTTGAAATAAAAGATGAGTATATTTGGAATGGTCTTGATAAGAACTAGAGAAAGGTAAAAATGTAAATGAAGAATAGTCATAATGGAAGTAGAATGAAAGTGGAAAGATGAAGGTAAAAGGCTGATGAAATATGCTGAAAGATAAAGAAAAGGTGCAGAAGGAAAAGAAAGAAAGACAATAGGAAAGAAAGAAAAAAAGAAAGAAAGCCAAAATAATATGAAAGAAAGCAAGCCAATATAATAAAGAAAGAAATAAAATATAAGAAAGAAATAAAGTTAATATAATAAGAAAGAAGGAATTAAAGAAAGCCAATATAAGAAAGAGAGCAAGCCAATAAAAAGAAAGAAAGAAAGCCAATATAATAAGAAAGAAAGCAAACATAAGAATGAAAAAATAAAGCTAATATAAAAAAGAAAATAAGCTGATATAAGAAAGAAAGAAAACCAATATAATAAGAAAGAAAGAAAGAAAACCAATATAATAAGAAAGAAAGAAAGAAAGAAAACCAATATAATAAGAAAGAAAGAAAGAAAGAAAGAAAACCAATATAATAAGAAAGAAAGAAAGAAAACCAATATAATAAGAAAGAAAGAAAGAAAACCAATATAATAAGAAAGAAAGAAAGCCAATATAATAAGAAAGAGAGGAAGCCAGTATAATAAGAAAGAAAAATAAAAGCAACATAAGAATGAAAGAAACAAAACCAATAAGAAAGAAAGAAAGAAAGAAAGCCAATATAATAAGAAAGAGAGGAAGCCAGT